ATTATTGAAAGTTCAGGTGACATGTAGTGTTGCCAGAGTTCTTATAGTTTAACATCTCTTACAAATCGGTTTACTGAATCATAAAATCCGTCAATCGAGATGTTAGGTATATTTAATCGACATTTCGTGACAAGGAGACCTCCGTAAAGTTTGATAACACAAAAATTATAATAAATATAATGTAGAAGGTTTAAGTAGTGCACGAAAGAAACTATAGCATCAGAGAATTGGCAAATACGATTTCAATTTCAAAAGCGGCAGGGATGCGCCCTGGTGGCGCGACGTGGCGGGTACTCACGTGCATGTATGTATTTATTTGCAAATTCCGAATAGCTTTCAATATGTAGAGGCGCTGTGACTCCCGCCTGTCGATCCACTCCAATATCGCACTCCTTGTGAGACGTCACGGAGGCGACGGCATTACTCGACGCGAGGATTGACTCACGCGGGAGCAGCCTTCCGCAGACGCCACATGATAGATGAGACACAAAAAACATATCCGTAATTGAGATTTCTATTACATAAATTGAAAGCGTTTTTTGCTGTTTGTTTACATAATGTGAGTGGCACCACTATCGCGTTTCGGAAGCGGCCGCGGACGTCAATTTGTATATTGTCATTATTAGAGTTGGCGCGGAAAAGTTTGGGCGCGTTCATCCATCATGGTGTGACGGGCGGTCGGTCCGATATCGCGCCTAATACGTATTGATTTCCCACTTAGCGTTTTTCTTGGGAATCGCGGCGCTCCACCCTTCCGCCAGCCGGAGGCCTAACGAGCTGTTTGTCCTCCACTCGCGGCAACTAGGCCGGTTGTCGCCTACACCGCAATCATGTCACCAAATTACTTTCAAGACGATACGGATTTTGGGGTACTATTTATTTGATGAGCAGTCAAAATTTAACTGAAAATGCATTGCGAAATTTAAAATCAAGACATCGTGAGAAGGGAGAAATGAATCCTTACTTGTAGCGTGGGATGAAAATGACGACGTTAGAGACGTTAGGGACCATATAAATTGAAAACGATTTATTTTCCTCTCGTAAAGTAACATAAGATTAACAACACCTAGAGCATATTCCAATTTCAACGTTCTGAGGAGTTTGCAGAAAGTAGTCTTCCTGTACCTACTTAAAAGCTCTAGCGTGTTATCTTCGTAAGTATAAATAATGGATTTTGTTAGCAACTCGCGTGATGTATGTACATAGGTAAGTACAAGTACTTACATACATTTGCCTAAATGCTGAAGAAAAAGATTGCGTCACCAAGGTCCCCGGTGGGGGTGGGAGGCGAGAACAATGGTTTCGGTTCTCACACGTGTGGAGGATTATTTGCATTCGGAAATAAAGAGAGGAATGATAAAAGAAAGGCGCGAGCGAGGTCCCACCGCCTCGAGGCGGGGTGTGGGAACTGGGAGGCGAGGAGTGACGAGGTGCTCCGGGAGGGTGGGGGCTCGTTACGCGAACAATGGAGAAATAATGTACAGATTGCAGTGAGCGATGCGCCCGGCGCGACTCAGGTGGCTCAGCTCTCTCGTGGACATCACCTCTCCTATCAAACGCGAGCTATATGCCATGCGACTGCATACTAGAAACACCTGTAGCAACGTCTATTCACACCTAAGTTACCTATTTAGTAAATTTATGTTCCCATATTAAAATTGAGCCCATAACTTTTACTGCTAGAAGATGCGTAATTAAGTATTCATTACGTGAACATAAACAAGCATCAAATTAAATGTTACGCCCATACCATACGCTAAGAAGATCATAAAACACACCATTAACTTTAGATTCCGACCAGGGCGAAGAGTAAACTGTCGTTTAATGACAACAGTGAGTCGAACGAGGCGAGGCCGAATCGTTTAATAAAGGATGCCTTCATAGGAAGCGCAAGCAATCACAACACAATCACCCCATCCTCGCGTGACACCGAAAATGTCCCCGTTCATAAGTATAAATTAATCCATTTAGAGCGAGCGACCGGGCCGGCCGCACCGACGATTAACGGAAGCGTCTACTTAACTAATTTATCCTCGGGTGGTTTTAACAGAATGGATAGCAGTGATTACGGACGTTCGCGAGGATCGTGTGACGGTGGATGCGAAGATGCGCGCGCGCAGTGACAATGTGCCGCAATCAAACGCAATTTGTAACGCAACTGTCCAGCGGTTATTTTTGCATCTAATAAAGTACAGGCGTAGCGAGATATACCGGTTATGGCACCATTAAATACTACATTCCAGAATGTATCGACTTATAACACCATCATATAGACCAAATCACCAGAATCAAACGGTAAGTATGGCACCTACGCAAAATAACAGTCCTGGGTGTCCTACTATTGAAAAACAATTTTTGTAAACCCTATTTATTACAAATAAATAATTTGAATTTATTTTGAACAACAGACCTGTTCGAGTCCTGCAAGGGGTGCAGGACTCGAACTTACGACTAGGTAGACCAACAATTTGATCTTAACGTTAAAATTACTAATGATATTGCGTGGTTAAATCAATTTTCGTAAAACAAAGAGAAAACGAAGAAAACATCTAATTGCATAGATTCTCCCCCGTAAACTTTATAAAACTTCATGGAAGAAAAATAAAAAATAAATATAGGAGCTGCCTTCGAGAACACGAAACGAAAACAAAACAGATAATATTATATTTAGGATAGTTAGTTACAAAACACGAATATTTCTGGTTTAATAAATAATATGATATGATATGGATGGGATGTGGGTGAGACTTGGAAATTATTCCTTCCTAGTTAGTTAAGTAAGTTTCCTTTGATCATTTGATGTACGCAGAAATTATTGTCATAAGTTTCAAAATTATTTAATTTAATTAGTCCTGTCCTCCTGGCTGCCCTCGTAGTTTCGGTTTACCAAAGAGTCGCGCATTCCTCTGGGACGTGATTGCTTCAAGAAAAAGTTTATTCAACGATATTCGGGAACAGTCTATTTATGGTAGTTGAATTAATTTAAAGAATTAATAATTAGAAATAATCTAATTATTAGTTAGTTAATAATAATAGTAGTAATTTGATGTCTAGGTAGGTACCTACCGAAGACTTGTAGTATGCTCTACTATTAGATGCATCACACACATGCAGCAGGACTGTAGCTACTATTTATGTTTTCCTCATATAAAATGAAAGATACGTTCTGTATTTATTACGTATGGAACCGTATAATATACTTAGGTAGGTACAGGATGCTTCAAGGAACCAGTGTTTAATTTGTAGCTTATACGATAGTCAGATATTTGTAATCCTGCAAGCTCGCGACATTTTAATAACATTGATCAAATAGAACAAAAGTATGTGGACCGAGCACTCGACAGAGATGAAAGTTAAAAGGGTCGCGGGGGGGCGGGGTGTTTGTGGGGGAGCGGGTTGAATGTCTTATTCCCTCCACAATTCAGAGGTATTTCGTGTTCTTCATACGCAAATATATCCTCGTTACGTAGGCAGTAGCACACGTGAGCGGCGATTGCGTGTGCGCCTAGAGAAAAACCCCGGAGTGACTGGGTGACTCGTAGATTGGGCGAATTGTCCCGGGGAACAAAATTGAATCCAGCAATCAAACGACGCCCAGCAACAAACGCCGGCTCGTTATCGTTCGGCTTTGATTTGACGAAACAATAGGGGCTTTTAACGCATGTTGTATGGAAATATTAATGATGGCGCGGAGGATAACGGCGCAACCGTTCGCGTCGTTTAGGCCGAAATTGGTTTGCAATATATCGGGAAACTTATTATTTATTTACTAACTAGTACCTAACATAATGTATAGTTGTAATAATTTATATCAACGCAATTCTACTAGTGTAAATGTGGTAAAAGTTATATTTTTTTAATAGTTAAAAATTGGTTGGTATGAATTAGCCTAGAGAAAAAAGCAATATGAAGGTAAGAAAAAAAACATAAAGTAAAAACAAATGGAAATAAACATTATCTCATTAAAAAACTCCATAGAGCTTAGAACAATAATGGTAGGGTGCAGTGGTAAGGTGAAGAAATGTAGGTGCCAAGTCTCTCAGTAACATGAGCCTAGATTTCAATCAACATAGTATCAAAGTTTCATTAGAGAATCAGCATTCAGCAGTAATTAACTAGAGTGCAATTGATGATTAACAATAAAACTAATACCTAACTAATTTATAAATATTTATAATAATGAGTTGATAGTAAAAGTAAAGGAACATAAAATCCTGAAACAACTAAACAACCTATAAATTATGATGGTTTCAAGCAGAGTAGCAAGCAATTTTTCTCCAAAACATGCTCATATACTATACTTTATGAATATTTTTTACAAATGTGGGCATTAATAGAAAAAGATTATTTTATTTTATTAGAACTTCTAAGTATTTTTTTTTGTTTTCAAAGAAGACTTAAAATGTTGTCATTATAAGAAATCAATGTTTACTACAGCAATCAGTTGAAAACTAAGTTTTTTACTGAGTTTGTTGCGATTAACATCTCTAATTAGTGACTGATTATTTTATGAAAACTAAATAATTTTAAAATACATCGTTTGATTTAACATAGGATTACTAATAGGAGTACTCACAACCTATAATAACTGCTTACAACGTGATGATGATGATCCATCCGATCGATTTTGGCCATGACGGAAGCAGTCAGGTGCGCAGGATATTTTATTCACAACATATTCTTATTGGGATTATGTAATATTATTTAGATCTCGGGATAAAATATTGCCCTTAGCAAACTCTCGAGTAATGATTTAAAGCAAGCAGTAAAGAATTTATGCTAGTTAGTTTGGTATAGATTGCTATTCATCACAAGATTATTCTTTGAGATTACTAATGAAACTAAATCTAGGTTGGGATTCCGGAATTCATATAATTTGTTTCAATACTGCGATACTGATAAGTCTAAACGCAACAAAGCTGTCTTTACAACAGTCACTTACTTTAAATGATAAGGTACTTATCCTTGTCATGAGTGTTACAATTTAATTGAAATCTTACCTCGTTTTTATCAAATTCTTGAAGGGTTCTATCATTCTGCTGCTTCTCAATGAACGCTCGAGCAAGTGCACTTCTAGGCCTAATTAGTCCGTTTGAAGCCATGGCTTTGTTCTGTTCAAAATGCTTCTTTACAGGGTCTTTCCAAGCATCCCCAGCTATTGTGACATCATCAAACTCTCCTCTTGAACAGTATGGTTGAGCGTCCTTTGTATAATAACAATACAGGTCAGTTCTGTCACAAAAGTTACTTGAATGCAAAGGCATAAGTAGTATTACAAGGAAACTATACAGAATTCTAATGAAAGCAAGCATTTATGTCTAATCTTTCAATGTTAATTATGAGTATGGAAAAACCAATTACTAAGGCTTACATTTCAGTTTTGCTAGAGATATATACTAAAAATCTGCGATCTAGCTCACTATTTTAGGCACTGGTAAAAGGATTTTTTTGTTTACTATTAAAAGATTAGTATTTTTTAATTTTATGGCTAAAAACTGAAAAAACCCAAAACATTGTTTTGTTGGTTGGTTTGACAAACGTCAAAGATAGTTTCGCAGTTGTCTGGAAGAGGGCGCTGTTGGTTGATCATTGAAACGTTTACGAAGCCACTAAAATATTTCAAATTATTTTAAAATATATCATTTTTTTGTCTTAAATATATTTCTAAAGTACATAAAACAACTATAAAACAACGGTTTTAATTATTTTCTTTATAAATGGTTCTTACGTTGAACATTTTTCAATCGTAAAATATTTTTATTTTTTTATGATGGAACTAGCTCTGTAAATAGACATTATCATGAACCTGAAACTTACGATGAAAGTTGGATGCACATGCAGACTAATACTTGAGATAATACGGAGATTTATAAATGAAAATGATATTGTAACATCTAGTTAGTAACAAAAATTTACGTTTGAAACTTAGAGCTAAGTACTACTATGTTTCTAAGGGCGCGTAGAGTTCGACATTTTTAAACCGGTTAAATATTGTGTTTATATTTTTTGACCTAATTATGCACTGAAATATCATAAATTCTACAATTTACAGGTCCATTTAGGTACTAAACCTCAGTATGTTTAAACTTGCTACTAACCGTGTGTTGTTTCGATTCGACAGATGCTTTAGCGACGATCTCTCGCAGCACGGAGTTCAACATTTTGCTTTCACTGGCCGACGAAATTTTCAAAGAACTCAATTATCAATCGCTTTATATGACACTGAACACGACTTATATACGAATTAGGAGAGAATTGTTACTGTACTTCACTCACACACTTACTTCCCGGTGTATTGTGCGGTGAGAGGTAATTTTAATGATTGTAAGTCGAAATGTAAGCCGAAATGTAAGTCCCGCGGCTTCGGCCTTGGCCGTGACCGACCGTTCACTGTCCAGCCGATGCGCATGAGTAGGTATTTGAGCCGAAAAATGCACCGTTGGTGATAAAAGAGTAACTTCGATCGGATGAATTAAAGAAATTTTGAATTTTCCTTCTTGCCCTGCCCAATTTTTTTTATTATGAAGTACTATACTTATACTTATACTTAGGTACTAATACTTAGGTAACGTTACTTACATTCTTATAACTTACAATGGACTCGGGTAGGTAGTTTCTACGCTACCATTTAAGTTACTTTTTTACTTAACTTAAAAATATTAGGTAATATGTAAATATGCTATACATACTAGGATCTAAATTAGGTACGTTATTAGTTTTATTAAAGAGATGCAAATGTTCGTGTTACTCTATCAATGCAGGATTCAAACTGGCAACCAGAGAGTTTGGCAAACGCGAGTCAATAAGGCAAAAAGTTACTGTATTATTATATTTATTTAGAAATAACAAATAAATATGTTAAATATGTAGTATCTCCTACTAATTTTCTAAAGACATACTTTTATTTATTTATTTATTTATTCTTTCTTTTCTTTGCTTATTCTGAGTTATTTTAGGTATCACTTGAAAACTCATTATGAAAAAAAGTGATTTTCCTAAAAGACGAAATAGAAAACATTAGTTCTTTAGTGATTTAATACATATAAATGTACTAGGTACGAGTACATACATACATACTTACATAAAGACGACGCGAAATATTGACGATATGTAATGTGTAGGACTACTAAATGTTAACATGTCAGTTATCAAAAATCAATCTAGTATTAAGATTACAATATTTGAATACAAGATAACTGACGGTAACCTACCACTATCTACCTACTTATTTCTAACTAACCACTAACTTCACGTTTATTACGCAAAAACTACAGAAAAGACCTAATATGCATCGTATTATTTTTGGTTAAAAAAAAAACTAAAACTTACTTTTTCCTTGAGTTTAGGTATTTTGAGGTTGTGAAAACTTGCCATCACAAATTTAATCAATAAAAAATCAATATAGCACACGCGTGAATTTACAATGCCGATTGCCTTGAAGTGAGCGATAAACAATGTAGCATTATCGTAATAAAATTTAATTTAAGATAACGTCTGTTCGTTGATATAGAAATCAATAGCAATTTTATTACTTGACTAGCGAAAACCCGTGACTTCGCTAATTTGATGTACCTAACTCTACTAAGTATAATAAATACTATATGATAGTATCTAAATCACTCAGTTTGTTACGTAATTTTGCAGCTGAATTTTCCTACATAATACAAAAAGAAAATGGAATTATCATATTATGTCTGAAAGGGCTATTGAAATTTCAGTCACCGACTTCTTATTTACGCTTCATGAAATTGCTACAGACATTGTAAGTAATACAAATGACTACTGTCTCTACTATACAAATAATAACGATAATGACACACTTGGAACCACTGTTATAGCACGTCTTTTCATAGAAACAAATAACCGAAAATAAGCAAAACAGGTAAACCAGGTGTAAGTATGTATCAATTAAATAAACTATAAAATGTAGAGTTAATTTTCGTGAAGGTTCAATATGGGTTCTCGATCACGCGCGTCTCGCCCGGGGCGCAGGCTGCGACGCGGCGCTGGCGCATGCGGGACATTTAAAATAATTACAAGCCATCGGAGAAACGTAACAGCCAGTGTTTTGAGACCATTACTTATTTTTAATTCCAAAAAATGGGTTTTAAAAGCGCACACTTAGTGCCTATTGGTGCAATGCTGGCAATAAATGGGACTATTTTTTTTAGAGTATTCCGGCAATTTTGTTGTTGAATTATATTGCATAAAACTGAATGTAATTACTTGTATTAAATTTTGGGTGGTGGGACGATGTTGGAAGTGTGCGATATGGGCAGTTAATGGTTTGGCTTGATTTTGGTTAAGTGTTTTCCGGTAAAACATTGGATTAAGATTATAATTTTGTTTCAGGAAACTCTGATGAGCGGTTCTTGAACATTGAGAATTAGCTTAATAAGATTTTCGCGAAAATGAGCTACAGTTTTCTTTAACGCTTTTGGAATATGTATTGGAATATTTGTGCATCTGGTTATGTCTTGCGATCAATAAAACTTGCTAGTACCTATCGTGCTACGCAATCTAAGTACTCACATGAAGCTGTAATGACTCAAATCGTAGGCCGTCCACAATATTGTTTTGAAGTTCTTCAGTCAGTGGTACATACCACATAGTAAACCAAAACATAAATGGTTTTACTAATATCCTCAAGGTTGTTTAGGCAGGAAGGAGTCGTAGGAGGCTTTAAGTATTTCAGGTCAATCTTTTTAAGACTGGTGTATGCTGGTGTGACTAGATATTTTCATTTCAGCCAAATGAAAAAGACGTCTCTGCTGAACAAAGGTCGCCGGTCCTGCTGTGCTGCCCGGTGCTGCGGGTTCGAATTCCGCCGGGGGCCAAAAACACACTAAGTAAGTGTTGAGCGCAAATTTTCATACATGAGTCATGGAATGGATGCTTATGATTAAGTACTAATAATATTCATACGGATCTATTCAGTTTATCCTTTATGGTCACCACAGTCGTAGCCAGGGCTAGTCGTCACAGTTACATAGCATAGGTTGTAGTTAACCAACATACCTACCAATGATTGTTGAAAAAAAGATGTAGGTGTAATACGTTACTTACGTATAGTAAGATGAATATTTTTTTGGGTGCACTTATTTACCTTTCGAATAAGAGGGTAAAAGAGACGAAAAGTAGATTATCAACTAACTAGGTTCACAGATTCGACTGATTTTTGCTTATCCAGAATCGCAAATTACACGTTCCATAAAATTATTATTGCTTACTTATTTCTGGTAGTGTATGTTCTTAAACCTGTAAAATAAATACAAAACAAACTTAACATGATTAGCCTTTCAATGTTGAGATAAACCAACATATTATGACTCTCCTTACTTATTCCTTTGTTATCTCCTTGCGTTAAGGATAAACAATAAAATAAAAAATCCAGATACATATTACAATCTCATTACATTTAGTTCAAGGTGTGCTAAAACAAAACCAAACGGTCAGCTTAATTTAAATCTGAGCTCGTAGTTTTTGCACCTTCAACCGCATTCTCACAGCGCGGACTTGATTGTTATGAGAATAGTCACATCACTAGTGTTACGCACAACACTATCTCTTAAGATGGCGTCATGCTCCATTGTCTTTGGTCTTTGGTCATCGTCTTACATTGGTTGTACTGAATGTAATGTATTTCATAATACTGAATAAACTCAAGTCGCTTCACAATATAGTCTTTCACTCATACACCAAACGCTACATGGTGTCAGAGTGTGATAAATTCTACGTGCCCGGAATTTTGTCGTCAAAAAGGTCAAAAAGTAAATTCAAAAATGGCGTCTCAAGAAAAGCCNGCTACATTGATGCACTTTACTTCTGATTGGATCATTACTGAGTTCATCATACCCCGCGATCCACCGGCCGCGACAAGGACAGGCATATACCAACACCGCGAGCCCGAAAGAGACACACTCCACCCGCGAGCCACATCGTTCAGGAATTATTTCATATCATGATTATTGGAACTTTATTGCACTTCGTAACTAACAATTGACATTAGGAAATGCAATTTCATATTGATTTCGTAATATCTCTCGTCGTTTATTTTTATCAATGCAGCAAATCTTTCTATGATTTGCGGCTAACCATCCGAGGGCATGTTTGTTGTTTTCTTGCGGCTTCACGTTCCAAGAAAATGTCATTAAAAGCTCGATAGGGGATTAAGTCGGTTTAAATTTTCACGTAGCTCGGCAGGAAATCGGTTTAGCCGTCACAAAGGGTGGGAAGAAACCGAGAAATTATCTTTTCGTCGGAACAGAAACCGCTAAACATGCAATTACACCGTTACAGATGGGGCATTAAGTTATCAAAAAATAATAATCCTTTCGCGGCGGCCGGAAGGTGTCG